TAAACGATTGCGAAACTTTAGAAAGTAGAAAAAGCATATAAATATTGACATTGGTCAACGGGCAATAGATGCTAATTGCATCGATATGAAAGGCAAAACGATCCTGCCATCGTTTGACCGTTAAACAAGCCTAAGAACAGTTCTGTTACGCTGTGACAAATCGCTCACCGAGTGACTGTGACCATCCGATTCTGGAATGTGATCCCTCGGATTGGTCGACTACTTTCATTTCACAGAACCAAGTGCCTCGCGACACGCCATGGCTCGCTCGCACGATCGAGTATCCCTTCTCGCCAGTTGCCGTCAGTCGGTCGTCAGACAACTTGATCTGCGGAGCTAAACAGTGATGAGCAAAACGGTGCGTACTGTAATGCGATTGATGTCGCCATCTGTCGCCTCCTCGTACCTCGATCATGAAAAGAAAACTGCACTATCAACGGTCTTACTACACGGTACATAAAACTAGGAATCGGCTTGCCTGCTGTATCGTGGCTTTCATCGAACTCCTGTCTAAAAGTTGTCAGTTTACCAACTCGACTTGATTATTCGATTTAAAAATTTACAATTTATAGATGTATACCTTTAATGACAAAGCTATTTAAAGATCATAGGGTTGAGGTTATCACAAGGACCATGTCACTGGGAATCAGAATAACGGCGAGTTTAATGAGGTGTAATGGAGTACGAGAAGAATCCAAAAAAGGAAGACTTATACATTCGAATAAAATGACAACGTCATACTGAACTACATGTTACATGCTACATACCAGAGAGTTCCGTGAAGTACGTACCACCGCATGGCAATCATTTGAATTTTCAATTGCAACAATAATTTAAAGTACGCTTCCTGTGACTTAAGGATGTTCATTTGTAATGCCACATGATATATTAGTATGTAGACTGACCTTTCTCTACTGTACATAATTTAACTTGGTAGTCAATAATGGCATCCATCGCAGCATATCCGTGGTCTCTTTACTGATAAGTGATAAGCACGAAGTACGCGGCAGTACAGACCGAACTACTCCAAGCAGGAAACTTATTTTCCTTGAACCTTCTCACTTGTGCCTCTCTTCTTTCAAAAGTGACGTTTTGCATGCCATTAACCGAAGTTGCCTTATCTACGCAAGGTTATATCTACGGCTTGTTGTCAGAAACTGCTGGTCGTTTCTGTCCATGGTTGTATTTTTTCTAATAATTTTAGACAGACGAGAAGTTACTGATCCGCCGGCATTTGAACCCGTGACCTTTTGACCATGAGTTCGACGCTTTAC